AGAGACTGGGAGGCGCTGCCTGGATCTGCCGCCTCAATCGTCGTCTCGTCTAGGTCTCTCGCCCTGTTGTATAAGTGGACCATCTGAGTATGATGATAGCGCTTGATAGCAATGGAAAAGTGAATGCTTGAACTAGCTGCAGCCGCCTGCTCTCTGAGGGAATCAAGTCGTTCCAGCACAGACGGGCCATCCAAGTCACCTTCCGGTTCGCCAGGCAGGACCTGTCGCGTCCCGCTAACGATACTCTGATCTCGAGCCCTCGATGCTCTGCAGCTGTCCCATAGGCGTACGAGAGTCTCTGGGCTACCGGTCTTCTCCAACTTGGCGATGATTGGTGGGATGCGTCCAGCTCTGCTATCCTTCCTACGCTTCATGGGGGCAGCCGCGCCATCAGCCTCTACGGATTTGCGCGTCGGCGACGCGCCTCCAAAAGCTTGTGGATTGGCTTCGACGGAAGCAATTGGCGAGCGGCTAGGTGCATGTCCGTCTGATCCTGAGCCTGCCTCACCATCGCATGTACAGGGAGGCATGGCCGAGCCGGCTTGTGTCGGTTTTAGGGTGGCCTCGACACTAGACATGACCCGGGGCTGGTACATATATCTCGAAATCACGGCTGTGAACTTATCTCGAAACGAAATGTCTCTGTCGAGGAAGGAACTGACCGCATCAAAATCGCAATCGAGACGATGACAGAAGCTGTGCAACTTTTTCGCTGTCAGTATGTATGCTAAGCGGTCGCTACGAAACAAAGACGTTACCTCCTGCGCCAAGTCCACAGGAGCAGGCATCTTGGAAGAAGTGAAATGGCCGTCTCAATGGCAGGTACAGTGGCACAAAGAGACATTAAATACTTGACCTACTAATATGAAGTCATCAACTGTAATGACTAGCCATTACAGTATTGCGCATGCATCGCTCCCTCTTTTGCAAACATTCCAACGTTTGAGAAGTTTAACACTGCTGTGATGGGCCTCAGCAAACCTTTGGCCATGGCTGTGGCAGCTTGTTTGCAAACAAAATGTGGGGTCGTGATGGTGTCCAGCAGTACAAGTTGCGGCACTCCATTGAAATCTACTTGACACCTTGTTTGGCTTCAATAACGACCATTACCCACTGCCAAGCGTGGTGAACTGTACAAATCAACTCCAAGTCCAGCTTGTGTGAGGTCAAGTTCAGAAAGATGATGCGTGTTGCGAAGAGGAAGCAACATATGCTCGTTACTATCGATACAATCCCTTGCTGGTGTTTGGCCTTTGCCACGCACCAAAGTAGCCATAGACTGAAGCAAGCTTAGCAAAAACCACGATGCGTAGGCAACGTACGATTGAAGAACGTAATCGAAGCGAATGGAAGTCTATGTTCCAGAGCAGGTGCCTGCCGTGTAATTCGCGCATCGCGACCAGCCTTTCGTCATTCCAGCCACAGCGACGTGAGGAGAGGTAACACGTCTTGCGGTAGGCCTGCCTCATCATGAACCAAGACTGCGCACCGCTTAAGTGGCTGATGCGGACCTGCAATTTGCTACAGTGGCTTATGGATGGAGCCCAACGGTACGTTGTATATTTGGCGCAGATGTTCCTAAGAGTCTGGTTTCCTCGCTGGCCATCGTGTACCCAAGCATCCACGTTCTTGGCTCGGAACCGTGATCAAAATTCAAGTCAGTAGATCGCAATCCCCTCTGCGGGCTTCATTGCACATCTTAGATCCAGGATTCTAGGCTATATGGTCAGCGGGGACTCCGCTCCCGGGTGATAAACAAACAAGGCCAGGCCACTGAAAGCCGAACAACTGAGGATCAAGCGCGATACCCACTTCGCTCTATGTATTGTCTACACTATCTATTCTTTAAGTTGCCTATTTAAAATTTTATTCCCGCCACTGCACATGGTTCTCAAGCAGTAAATCGTAGTGAGCGCTCGGAGGTAGCGTTACTAGTGAGTGTAACGCGTTGAAGCGCCCTTCTAGCGTAGGTGTTAACGTGGCCCTCACCTCGTACCTAGATCCGATATATATACTACCAGGAGCCATTTCGGTCGGTGCTGCTTAAAACATTATCCATGTCCCTGCGTACTTTCGTGCGCTTTTTTATTTAGTTGCTTGTATAGATATTTACTAAAAATCTGTTTTATAACTTAGAGAACATAAGTCTAGACCCCTCTATTTAGTACGGAAATATATCTACGACTTAAATTATAGCTAGTAACTTATAATTTATAAAGTAGATTACGCTATTATATTATATTATGGCTAGGTAGTTACCCGAAGTTAGTATGCGGATATAGAGAGGGATGGATAGGTGTAACGTAATAATGCTATATCGTAACTTTTGTAAATTATATATAAATATTTATAGTATTACTACTTAGGCCTTAAGCGTAAACTTTTAGTTCTAAGTAGTTACGGTTAGCGATGTTTAGTAGAACTGTGCGAAGCGCTACCTAGCTCGAAGTATTTTCTACTTAGCTAAGGAGAAGATAGCTAATAAAAGCCTAATATCCATCCTATAACTCCCTTAATAAGTACTTAATAGCCCACCTCCTCTTAATATAAGCGCTTATTAAAGTATATTTTAATAAAGCTATACTATAGCGCCTATAACTAAACTATCCCGATCGTTATAAATAGTTATTTCTATAACTACTCTTACTACTATTACTATAATAATAACGCCTATTTCTTCTTTCTCTCTTAATAAATACCGGTTATAATACTTCTCCCGTAATAAGTATATAGAGTTACGAAATTCTTAAAATAAGTATTAGAATACTAAACTCGCTTTTATCCGATACTCCGTTAACGACGTAAAGTAAGAGTTAAATAACGTTAAGTAGGAGTTAAAGGCCGATATTAAAGAGCTTAAAAACGACTTTATAATTTAAATATAATACCTTAAAGCCGAGATTAGCTAGTCTTAAGCGTTCACGCGGAACAATGCTTTAAAGAATTTAACCCTCCCTATTTAACTTATTATTATATATTACCCTAAACGCGGCATTCTTAAGCCTAATTCCTTACGTTTTCCTTAGAACGTAAATAATTTTTACTTTTTAAGAGATTTACAAACTAAATAGTACCGGTCTATACTCGCCTACTTTACTAACTTTTATAATATCTAACTTAGCGGTACTAGTCTTTTTCCTAAAAAAGAAAGTAATAGTAATAATAGTAATAACGACGAAATTATTTTTAAATACCCTAAACTTATTATAGAGAAGTTAAAAAATATACTCGGCCTAAATAAAAATAAAATAATTAAGTTTAAAAAGAGAGCTCTATAAACGGTATTACGAGCGCTATCGAAACTTATTAAACGCTCTTAAATATCCTAGCTTAAAACTAGACCTATTCTTAGCCTACGCTAATAAAAACTCGAACTACGTATTACTTTTAACTAAGAAGTATACTTTTATAATCCCGAACGCCCGAAGAGTGTTTCCTCTAAAAGCTTAACTAATATATATATTAAATAGGGTATACGTTTAACGCCTTCTTTATAACGGGTACGATTATAGTAGTTTCTTAAGGTAGCGCGCATATCTAAACTACTTAACTTTAAATTAGAGCGACTAAAGTCTATATCTAAGAGTACCGAGGCTAAATTAATAAATACCGATAACAATATATATATATTTACGAACTTACTAAAATAGTAATCTTAAAAAACACAGTAGTTAAAACTAATAGCCCATTAGCTAGGCGAATTTTATACTCCCTTAGAATAATATACGATTATTAACTAAATACTTTCTAAGCTTAAGTATTAAATAGAAATAGTTAAGTACGTATAGGGTTTAAGTATATAGAAAGAGGGTAATAAGTAAGTTTAGGATATATATAATAAGAGCTAGAGAGTAACCGAGCTATTTTTTTTAATATTAATAGCTTAGCTCCCGGCTTTTTAGTACTACAGTTACCCTTACGTATATTTATTAGCGTTCGATATTTAAGCTTTTCTATATCGTACTACTACCGAGATAAAAGGCTCCGGTACTAAATAAAATACTTACTAGCTCGACCTAGCTTCTAAAAGTTTATTTTTTAGTTTTAACAGTTAAGCGCTTATATAGTAACCGTACTAAGTATAAAGTAGAATAATACTAGGACTTTAATATTTAAATAGCTCTAAACCTCTTATAAAGACTTTTATAAGATAATTCTTCTAGACTCGACGTTCGGTACGAGATACGAACTAAAGTATTAGGATATAACCTATTACTATAAGTTAGCACTAGCTATATTATAAAATATATTAGAACTATTTAAAACGTGAGCAATAACTTATTACTCTTATTTAGAGGATCGTAATTATATCCCTTAAGCGCATTCCTAGCTCTAGGAATATACGGCCCGAGAGGGGTTTAAAAAAGCGTCCGGGTTTACTTAGTACGAAGTAGGGCCTTTATACCGGTTCTAATTAGTATAGTAACGGGTTAAGTTATAGCTATAAAAGTATTTCGGCCTACACTACATAAGTATCCTATTCGAGTCGCCTTATTACTAACTCTTACAATACCCCTCTAAAGAGATAAGGTTAAGTAGATCTATACTTAGGGCAATAAATAATAACTAAGTGTTTAATAAGCATAGTTAGCTAGCCTTATTATTACTTTCGAAGGGAGGGCGTATACTACTAGCTAAAGGATAAAAAAAAACGTAACAATCGGGTATATTCTCATTATAGGCCCTATATTATGCAAGTACTTAAGTTAATAAGGGCCTCCTGTGCTAATTATTATCTAAGTATATAGGCTAGGAGTACTTAGGGGTATTTAATATATAAGCGTAAGCTAAAATTATCTTTGCGTTCGCGTAAGACTTAGGTAGTAAATAATAATCCGTTAGTAGTATAGTATGTTAAGTAAGATCTTATTAAGTAAAGTATTTCGTAAAGAACTTAATAGCGCCTATTTAGAGACTAGGGCTTTTAATTTATAATTTAATAGCAACGCCTCGGAGTTTATTTATTTCTAATATAAGCTATTTTTAGAATAATTAATTAGGATCCCTACTAGCGTTTTGTATAGGCTAATAAAACTAAAATTATTAAAAAGAGCTCGTGCGCTAAGAACTAAAAGAGTTTAATTCTATATAATAAGTAATATTCTATATACGCAGGTCTTATAGCGCCTACTTAAAGCTACTTACTTATAGCCACTTTTTACTAATTAAAACTAATTTTAGTAAGTACTAACGGCTAACTATAGCCTATATCTATACTACGAAGTACTATTAAAGAGCTTAAAGTACTTTTAATAAGTATCGGAATTAACTCTAAGCATAATAATTACCAAAACTAGCGCACTAGATCGGTATATACGAGCGTCCTATACTAAAATACGATACATAGCATAATCCACCTTAGTATCTAAGTAGCTAGGCATTAGCTATAGTTATTAAGAAATAAGTATCGTAGCCCTACATAGGTAAGTATCTTTATCTCTTAAATTACTAAAATTAAGTAACTAGGGCTATTAAACCGCTACTATTAGTAGTATTAATAATACTAGCCCGTTATACACTATAAAGTCTTTAATATTCCCTAGAAATTTAATAGCGCTACTATTCCCAGGTCGCTCATCCCTAGTAATACTATATATAGGCCTTAGAAATAATTAACTTAGATACTTATATAAACTAGGTATAGCGATTAACTATAGATACGCTTTTCGTTTAGCTAGCTAGTTTTACTATATATATATACCCTTATTAAGCTATCACTTTAAACTATTTTCCTATACTATACGTACTATACCCTCCTAAAGATATTATCTCTCGCCCTACTAACTCG